TAGCTTGAGGCTCTGTCTCAAATAAAGTATTGGTAATCATATTTATGTTATGTACCTAATAAGAGTTTTCTTTTTAGGCACAATTCAGATTCAGATGCGTCAGCAGTTAGTAACAAAAATACATGAAGATGAATTGAATGATATGAAGGATTATCTTTCCCAATGTCAACGGGAACAAGAATCTTTTATAGAATATAAGGTGTGTACTCTAACAGATATTAAAAATAGTTGTTAGCCAATAATCACGCTATTTAGGTATAAGTATGGTGCAAGTTAGTAAGTCACTAATAATGATAATTGTTGATTGATTATAGGTCATGAATGCATTGTATGAACTTTTATTTCTCACATATGTGAATTTATGCAGTTATTAGCTTTATTTTATAGCTGAGAAAGGGGTTCAGAATGTTTAACCAAGTTAAACTGGTATTGATTACCAGTGTTAATTTGATTCCAAGCATCTGACAAAGCCCTTAATTTGTAACTGTAATTTGAAAATGACATTTTATATATGCATTATTTTCACAGAGCTAAGCAAAACATTATGGGTCAGTGGGAGAAAAAAAGGAGAGTTGTAGTTTTATAGTGATCAGGGGAAATGGCCAGTCCTTTTGTTGGTTTTTTGATAGATCTGATGGAATGGGGTACATTTTATGTTTTTCTACCTAAAATACTCCAAGATCTAACAGGACTTTACTGTCCATTCTTTACTGTCCTGTTACCCAACATCCTCATGGGTTTATGAGGATTCGCAAAATAGCCGGTCTCTCCTGCTCTTTCTGAGGAGGGGTGTAGGGATTCTTTTTTTTTTTTTTATTAAATGATAACTATGTACATTAACACAGTTCTGGGGTACAGTGTGGCGTTTTCATAACAGTTTGAAATATTTTCATCAAACTGGTTAACATAGCCTTCATGTCATTTTCTTAGTTATTGTGTTAAGACAATCATATTCTACTCTTAGAAAGATTCACTTGTACCCTTGTAAGATAAACCATAGAAATGATCCCTCTAATCACCCTCCCTCCACCCATTCCCCCTTCCCATCTCCCACCCCACCCCCCGTAGACTTAGGCTGTTATTAGGTTATAGATTTCATATGAAAGCTATAAATTAATTTCATAATAGGGCTGTGTACATTGGATACTTTTTAGGGATTGTTGATAAACTCAGGATAGAGAAGTAAGTTGCTGCTTTTCTCTTCCATTTTCTCACCTCATAATCTTCACAATTTATCTATGCTTCTTATATATGTTATAATTATATTTCTTAGGATATCACTTTACATCCAACTTGTATCTTTTCAGGGAGATACTACTGCAGTTAATTATAAATAGTGCTATTTTCCTACCTGCATCAGAAGATATTATTTCTTCTTGACTATAATTTGTTTCTGGTTCTTTAGGATGACAATGGCTTTAAGGAGATTGACCATGCATAAATCTTTACAGAGAGCCAGTTTTTGCACATCTCTTATTTCTAGCTGTTAAATGTGGATCAGATGTTGAATCTGTTTGCAATACCTGCTCACAGTCTGTTTATCAGTGGCTTACTTAAAGATCACGTCTACTGGATGAGCAAGGCTGTACTCTCCCGTCACTCTGTGGCTTCTTGTGCTTACGCTTTTCAGGATTATGCTACATCAGTCTCTTCTACTCATAGTTTACTGCTATTGTGTAGAAGAAACTTTTTTTCTCTTTAATTTTAAAACTTAGTTTGTTTTGTGAAGATTAATGAACCCGAAAGTGAAGGCACATCTCAGACAGTTATTTTTTAAGTTTAAAATAGTGCCATTCTCTTAGAGGACATTTTTTTTTTTGCTTTTTTTGAAACCAGATACTTTACTGGTCTGATTTAAATGTGATAACCATAATGTTTGTGGTAAATTAAGCCAAATTTAAGTATCATTTTGCAGATTTATATGTGGGTTATTTTAACCGAGTGGATAATGCTATAATAACTATTGAAGCATATTGTTTTAATATTTCACTGTTTTTGGTTAGCATTTGTTACTAATGCATATGTGTGAAAGCAAAATAGATTAGTCAAGGCTACCTTGAACTTCAGTAAAATTGTATAAGTCTGTTTGAACACAATTTCTATCATGTTTCTGTCTGACTTTCAGAGTTACGGTAATACATAGATTAATCTTCATGGGTATATTAAGTGCTCATTATAGTGCTCACGTAATCTGGATTGTCATCATGTCAGAAGTTTACTTGAAATTGGGGAAATTATTTTTATTTATTTTTTCCTCACTTTGTCACCCTCAGTAGACTGCCTTGGCATCACAGCTTACAGCAACCTTACAGCAACCTCAAACTCTTAGATTTAAGCGATTCTCTTGCCTCAGCCTCCCAAGTAGCTTGGATTACAGGTGCCTGCCACAATGCCCAGCTATTTTTAGAGATGAGTTCTTGCTCTGGCTTAGGCTGGTCTTGAACCTGTGAGCTTAGGCAGTCCATCTGCCTCAGACTCCCAGAATGTTAAGATTTACAGGTGTGAGCCACCGTGTTGGCTGAGAGATTATTTTTTTTCCTTTTTTTTTGTATAGACAGAGTCTCACTTTCCCTTGGTAGAGTGCTGTGACATCACACAGCTCACAGCAACCTCCAATTCTTGGGCTTAGGTGATTCTCTTGCCTCAGCCTCCTGAGTAGCTGGGACTATGGGCACCCACCACAATGCCCAGCTGTTTTTTGTTGCGGTTTGGCAGGGGCCGGATTTGAACTTGCCACCCTTGGTATATGGGGCCGGTGCTCTACCCACTGAGCCACAGGCATTGCCCTGGGAGATTATTTTTAAATGTTACCAAGATTCAGTCTGTCTTCTAATGTGCTTGTAGTATTTATGACTGACTTGCACTTACTAGAAATGTTAGTTTGCACAGCACTAGAATGCATCAAATAGGGCTAAGATTATTAAAATGTTTCTTCAAAGAGTACACTGACTGCAAACAAGTTTTTGAAGCCCAAAGCCATCTCTGGAGGTACTTTTATAAAAAGTACTCTTACTTTTTATAAAAGATAATCTCTTGGTTCTGCGCCTGTGGCTCAAGTGGCTAAGGCGCCAGCCACATATACCTGAGCTGGCGGGTTTGAATCCAAACCAGGCCCGCCAAACAACAATGATGGCTGCAACCAAAAAGTAGCTGGGCCTTGTGGCGGTCGCCTGTAGTCCCAGCTACTTGCGAGGCAGAGACAGGAGACTCGCTTGAGCCCAGGAGTTGGAGGTTGCTGTGAGCTGTGATGCCAAGGCACTCTACCCAGGGTAACAGCTTGAGGCTCTGTGTCACACACACAAAAAAGATATCTCTTGACTAGGCACGGTGGCTCACACCTGTAATGATAGCACTCTGGGAGGCCAAAGTGGGTGGATTGCTTGAGTTTAGGCATTGGAGACCAGCCTGAGCAAAGCGAGACCCCCATCTCTACTGAAAATAAAAAAAACTAGCTGAGTGTTGTGGTGGGTGCCTGTAGTCTCAGTTACTTAGGAGGCAGAGGCAAGAGGATCCCTTGAGCCCAAGTTTGAGGTTGCTGTGAGCTAAGACACCATGTACTTTAGCAACAGAGTGAGACTCCCTCTAACCAAAAAAAAAAAATGAATAAATAAAAATCTCTCTCCCTAAGAATCAGCCTTTCCCTGCCTAAATTCCCCAGGAGCCTTTTTAGGACGAGTCCTGTGGTCATAAGATGTAAGCACTTTGCTCTTTCTCCTAATTTTTATAAATGGGCTTAGAAACCAGTAAGAATTCATAGGATTATGAGGTATAGTATTCCAGTAGTACCTCTATTGGCTATTTTAAAAATCCTACTAGTGATAAATGGACCTCTAGCTAACTCTTCCCTGTCTTTAAATTCTTCACCCTGCCGTTGTTCCTAATTTGATTTAGCTTTCTGCTAAGCATTTTCTTGTATATGAACTATATAGTACCTGGGGGTCATTTTCTGTAGAAGTAAAGCCACTGAAGTTTAGGGGGTTTTATATCTTCATGATTAAAATACAGCTTTTAAAACACTTGACATTTTTCTTTCCTTTCTTTCAAAAAAATTTAGTTATTGAAAGAAAACCTTGCAAGGTGTTGGACCCTTACTCAAGCAGAGAAGATGTCCTTTGAAACCCAGAAAACAAACCTTGCTACAGAAAATCAGCATTTAAGAATCTCTCTAGAGAAGGAAGAAAAAGCCTTATCTTTATTACAGGAAGAGTTAAGTAAACTACGAGAACAAATTAGAATGTTGGAAGATAAAGGGACAAGTGCTGAATTAGTTAAAGAAAATCAGAAACTTAGGCAGCATTTGGAAGAGGAAAAGCAGAAGAAACACAGCTTCTTTAGTCAAAGGGAGACACTACTGGCAGAAGCAAAGGCGCTGAAGCTGGAAGTGGAGAGAGAACGATTAATGACCATGGCTTTATCGGTGGAACTCGAGAAATTAAGTGCTAGTCAGTCACATGGCAACCCAGATTCTCCCAGTGTATTGAATGAACAAAAGGAAATAGCAATCTTAAGGGAAAGACTCACTGAGCTGGAACGGAAGCTAACCTTTGAACAGCAGCGTTCTGATTTGTGGGAAAGACTGTATGTTGAGGCAAAGGAACAAAATGGAAAACAAGAAGCTGATGGAAAAAAGAAGGGGAGCAGAGGAAACCACAGGGCAAAAAATAAGTCAAAGGAGACACTTCTGGGTTCAGTTAAGGAAACATTTGATGCCATGAAGAATTCTACTAAAGAGTTTGTAAGGCATCATAAAGAAAAAATTAAGCAAGCTAAAGAAGCTGTGAAGGAAAATCTGAAAAAATTCTCAGATTCAGTTAAATCTACTTTCAGACATTTCAAAGATACCACCAAGAATATCTTCGATGAAAAGGGTAATAAAAGATTTGGTGCTACAAAAGAAGCTGCAGCTGAAAAATCAAGAACAATTTTTAGTGATTATTTGCACCCACAGTACAAAGCACCCACACAGAACCAGAATAGTAGAGGCCCTACTGTGCAAAGAGACGGAAGGAAAGAAAAGCCAGTTCACTTTGAAGGATTCAGAAAAAGTACAAACCCACAGAAATGCAGTGCTGAGCATGACTGTAGAGAAAATTATCCTTTTAGAAAGGGTTGTTCTGGTGTATTTGAATGTGCTCAACAAGAAGCCATGAGCCTTTTTAATACAGTGATGAATCCTGTAAGGATAGATGAATTTAGACAGTTAATTCAAAGGTACTTATTGAAAGAGCTGCATACTTTTCGTCATTGGCAAGAACTTGATCAATTTATCAATAATTTTTTCCAAAATGGTGTCTTTATTCATGATCAGAAGCTCTTCACTGACTTTGTTAATGATGTTAAAGATTATCTTAAAGACATGAAAGAATATCAAGTAGATAATGATGGAGTGTTTGAGAAGTTGGATGGATATATATATAGACACTTCTTTGGTCACACTTTTTCCCCTCCATATGGACCCAGGTCGGTTTATATAAACCCATGTTATTATAGTAGTTTTTAACATTTGTAGATTGGATAGCATTTTTATCATTTGACAAATTTCTTGAAAGGTTACTATTTGTAAGATATGCTTTATTGCCATTGAGAATTTAGAATAAATTATAAGATGAAGTTTTAAAATATAGCTATTAGAAGCTGAAAATTTCATAATCACATAATGATTTTGACTTGATTTAATTTCTATCTTACAAATCAGTTAAAGATATATAAAACTTATTTTTGTTATTTTGTTTCTTTTCCATGTAATCACTTTAAGTGAAATTATATTTACTCGCCTAAGGAAGCTAGGAGTGAACAACATAAATTGCTTGGAAATCAGAATAGCTCATAGATAACAATTATAATATTGCATCTGTTTTCATTTTTCCATTCAATTTACCAACTTAATTATGATATTCAATACTTACTGTGGAATTATTGTTGATAAGGGTAGAGGCATGATCAAAGAGGCAAACTTGGCAAGCCAGAAATTCTAATTTGTGTGCTTTATAATAACTTTCTATCTGTTGTTTATCAGCTTTATGTTCTGTAACATGAAACTTGCCTAATCTTGAAATGTTAGTTTCATTTGAAATGTTAGCTTCATTTTTTACCTTTGAGGTACTTCTCTTTCTGAATAAATGTAATGTGTCTATAAAATAATGAGACTGAATCTGGTGTCTTTAGTTATTGAGCAGATATCTAGAGCTATAATGAACAAAGTATTGTGAGGCTACCTTGAGGAAACAAAGGAAAAAAGTTTTGCTGTAAAGGAATTTACAAGCTAGATAAAAGAAAAGAAGGTATGGAGGCATGCATATAGTAGCCTCAGGCCAACTGTTTGGAAAGGCATCTTGAGCTGGGTGGCTTTTGAACTGAACTTGGTTTTTAAAATTACTTTTGAAAGAGAAATGAGAACTTGCTTTGCAAATAAGGGAGGACATTTCACTCAAAGGGAAGGTCATTTGCAAAGACTTGGAGATGTGAATATGTGCTACTTTAAGGAAACAGGATAGTTCTGGGAGACGAATAAAAAAAGATTCAGATCATGAAGGGTCTCATTTTATGCTAAAGGATTAGTCCTGTAGGACATGGAGAACCTCTGAATCATTTTGGAGTGGGGCGGGATAAATATTTTGGATTACAGTAGCCTTCTCTTATCTTCAGGGAATATATTCCAAGAATCCCAGTAATGCTTGAAACTAGGAACAGTACAGAATCCTGTATATACTACGCATGAATTTCTTTTTCCTTCACAATTTCACAAATTGATTTGTTCTTAGCCATAGATAATAGCAACCTTAGCATGTAGGGTTTTTTTCTTACTGAGAAATTTCATCTTTTCACTTGAAAAGAAGTACTTTATGGCTTCTCTTTGGCACATCCTAATTGCCACCATCACCACTTTTCCACTTGGGGTCCTTATTAAGTAAAATAAGGGTTGGCTCGGCGCCTATGGCTCAAGTGGCTAAGGTGCCAGCTGCATACACCTAAGGTGGCGGATTTGAATCCAGCCCGGACCCGCCAAACAACACTGACGGCTGCAACCAAAAAATAGCCCGGCGTTGTGGCGGGCGCCTGTGGTCCCAACTACTTGGGAGGCTGAGGCAGGAGACTTGCTTGAGCCCAGGAGTTGGAGGTTGCTGTGAGCTGTGATGGGGGGGGATAGCTTGAGGCTCTGTCTCAAAAAAAAAAAAAAAAGTAAAATAAGGGTTAATTTGAATATAAGAACTGTGTTGTGATAACCAAGGCAGCTACTAAGTGACTAAGGGGTGGGAGGTGTGGACAGACACACTAGACAAAGGGCTAATTTAAGTCCAAGGGGCCACAGTGGGACAGCATAAGATTTCCAGCATAAGATTTCATAACACTATTCATAATGGGAATACAACTTAAGATTTTTTTTGAGACAGAGTCTCATTCTGTTGCCTTGGGTGGAGTGCCGTGGCATCACAGCTCCCAGCAAACTCAAACTCGGGCTCAAGCCATTCTCTTGCCTCATCCCAAGTAGCTTGGACTATAGGTGCCTGCCATTTTTAGAGACAGGATCTCTTGTTCAGGCTAAGCACAAGTGATCTATCTGCCTTGGCCTCACAGTGCTGGGATTTCAGGCCTGAGCCACTGTGCCTGGCAAGAATTACTACTGAAATTGTCCATTTAACATATTCAGACTATGGTTGACCACAGGTAACTAAATCTGAAGCACAGAAAGTGAAACTGAATAAGGGGGCACTAGCTGTACTGGTAGCAACCTGGAGGATTGATAGGAAAGGTATGAAGCTAAAAGGTGGTCCATATGATACCAATACAAGATGATGAGTACCTGAACTGGAGCAATAGAAGTAGGTGTAGAAAGGAGGAGACAATTTAACAGATGGTAAAACTGGTATTTCTTGTGAAAGAGAAGTGGAAAGTAACAGTGACTTTTAGATTGGTAGTTTGGGTTACCTATTAGTGTTATCATTAAGATAGGTAATACCAGGTTTGGGGCAAGTGGAATCTTAGATGAGGAGTGTTTGGAAGTACTTATATTCAAATGCAGAGAGTTAGTTGGTAATGAATTACATGGCCATTTCTTTTAGCCAGACTTCTTTCTATTTGTCTAGATAGTCTAGGCTGGAGGTATTTCAGACTTCTGGGGAAATATCAACATCTATTGGGTTGTACAGGTGGCTGAGAGGACAAGAGTAGTATCATGAAAACCTGAAGATCAACTCAAAGAGAATATTTAAACGTGTCAAAAGCTTTTTTAAGAAGTTGAAAACTATTTCTTGGCTTGGGAACTGGGTGGCCATGGATGGCAATATGGATTTTCAGTGAAGTTAGGATAGAAGGCTGATCATAGAGCAAAGCAGTGTAGACATTGTTTGTGAATTTCTGTTGTGAGAGAAAAAGTTAAAAGACTTGTATTTGCTTTGTTTATAAGAGATGTGTATATAATTCCGCTGAGAGAGAAAGCCAATGGGGAAGGATTGATTTTTACAGGAAAGGAGGAAAAATAATGCAAACACATCTCATTATTTTATTGCCACATTTCTATTCTTTGTTATCTGTTGCATGTTTCCCCTTTTTGCCAGTAGAGTTAAATTTGTCTCTTGTTATAGGATTAAAAAGTGTAACACTGAATCTTTAATTTTTTATATGGATATTCTAGGACTACAGATTAATTTAACATCTTTTTTCAGTGTTCAGATAATAGATTAATGGAGAAAAACATTAAAACTGGTTTTAATGTAAATGAACTCTAACATAGATGAAAAATGTGTTTACTGCTTTCAGTCGACCTGATAAAAAGCAACGTATGGTAAATATTGAAAACTCCAGGCATCGAAAACAAGAGCAGAAGCATCTTCAGCCACAGCCTTGTAGAAGGGAAGGTAAATGGCATAAATATGGTCGCACTAATGGAAGATACATGGCAAATCTTGAAATAGAATTGGGGCAATTACCTTTTGATCCTAAATATTGATTTAATGATTAAGTTAAATTAGAAAACTGTAAGAGACATAGTTGCTTTCTACAATGGTGTTGAAACTAAGATGAAATTACCAAATGACAATGTCTTTTTTCCTTCATTCTAAGTATCAGTTTGATGACTTTATTATTACTCAGAAGCATCAATCAAAAACCTACTAACAGCATTTTCCTGTAGTTTAGCTTTGTTGAATTTTTTTTGGCGCTGGAAATGTTCAACAGTAGTTTTACTAAGGAAGTCAGGCATGCAGCAGATTTTGTGCATGAAATGAGACTTCCTTTCAGTGTATAAGCTTAAAGTAAGCTCAAATTATACATGACAAAGTGTAATTAACACTGATGTTTGTGTTACATTTGCAGTAGAGCTTGAGAAAAGTACATTGTGAGGGAACTTCATCTCTAATGTTTTATAATCTTATATTTGCTTCTTGTCTTTTTGTGGGTTCAAGAGCCCGTTGACTTGTGAAGAATTTGCTGCCCTCTTATCAGCTTGCTGACTTGTTTTCTTGTGAAATTTCTTGCACATCTGAATATTGTAGAAGAAACAATAAAACTACACCATGAGGAAAACTAAAGGTCTTTATTTAAAATTTGGCATTGTATTAATATGTGGTTTTATACTATGTGATATTTTACCCATTTCCTTAGTAGTGGTATTTGGTAAAGCAGTTCATAGTGTTTCTTTCCAAGTTCGAATGAATCTTGATTACCCAGTGTTTACTGAAGTATTTAAACAGTACCTGAATATTTCCATTCAGCAATGTCAGTTTCTCTAGGAAAGATTCAAACCCAGTTCAGAATTTCACCTTCAGTTGAGTTTCCCTTTTGAATTCCGTTCGTAGACATATATGTGACTTCCAATTCGACCCTCCGGCAAGTGAGTGTGGAAGAAAACAGCAGTTCTCTCATAGTTGCTTGAAATTAGGAAAGCACTTATTTCCTAGAAGTAAATAAATGTTTAAGTAAAATAAAGGCTACATTTTACTGAGTACTGTTTCAGTGAATTTTAGAATTGGCTGTTTTAATTGCTTCTCTACTTTTTTCATAATAAAACAATAAAATTTCTTAACGAATTAACTGTGGTAAGTAAAATATCTTCATAGTTACAAAACTTGGGCGCATTCTGATATGGGGGCTTAAAGGGACCTAAAAAAGGTTATGTTCTCTGTTTACCTAAGTGGTTGCTAAACCTGAGGTAAATAAAAAATAATGAGTTTTCTTTCTTACCTCTTCCAAAACGCTGAAGATGATCAAGTGAGTAGGCAATGATGCGTCATCATGAAACTCTTTATGTAACCAGTTTAAGGGATTTAGGTAAAATATATCTGCTTCATCAAGATACCGACTTTTTCCAGTTAGGTCTGGGGGACATTGGAGAAATCTCATTGGAATTTGGCAGTGAACATGGCTGTGAAGAGAAAAGTTATCATAATAAATACAAGAAGTGAAAAAAAAATTGTGAAAGTTTTCTTATTACTTATATCATGTACACCTAGCAAAATGTGAAACTTGAACCCGTAAACTGTTCTGAGTTAAGGTCAAGAAGCAAGACATATTCTTAAAGAATGAAAATGTAGGCTTGGCGCCTGTGGCTCAAGTGGCTAAGACGCCAGCCACATACACCCAAGGTGGCGGGTTTGAATCCAGCCCGGCCTGCCAAACAACAATGACGGCTGCAACCAAAAAAAAAAAAAAA